GGAGGAGGAGGAGGAGGAGGAAGAGGAGGAGGAGGAGGTAGGGGCTAGAGCCCGGCTGTGTGCAGGACCACGCTGGATCACAGGGTGCAGAAGGCAGGAGCCCCTTCCAGCTCTGGAACTCAGGCTGAATAATCTTGTCAGTCTTTCTGTGTAATGTGTTCTGAAGCCAAGAGGTTCTTTCCACCTGAAGTACTTCTCTCTCTGTCTACCATCTGTCATCTGTCATCTCTATCATTATCATCTGCCTCTCTCTATCTCCATATGATCAATAGATGATCTGTCATTTATCAATCTGTTACCTGTCATCTATCCATCCCACTGTCATCCATCACCTTTTCGTCTGTAATCTACTATCGGCTGTTACCTATCATCTCTCTTATTGGTCAAACAACCTATTTATTCATATATTGCCTATCTTCCCATCATGTGCTCTGTCTCTGTACCTGTCTATCATCTACCATCATGCTCTCTCTCTCTCTCTCTCTCTGCTGCACCTTTTCATCTATGACACCAAGCCAGGTATACACATATGTCACACTTATTTCCTTGTCCACTACTTACTTAGCATCATTGATGCTTTATAGTCAGTCTATTACCAATGCTCCAATTGCACCATCTCAAGACAGGCCAGATCCAGTGTGGCCATGGCCCGGTTGATACAGATTCTCATCTTCCTTGCTCTGTGAAGACCCAGAATCTCCTCTGCAACTCTCAAATTTACCCACGTCATAGCGTTCACACATCCCTACACTCTTAATTCACAGGGTTTCATTCCTCAGCACCCCGCTGTCAAGAAAATCACTTCTCTGTCCATCACTTATTTTACATAGTTGCATGCTACAGCCCTAGATTTTTCTTCCCCTAAGTGATTCAGCAAATCCACTGGTTGAACTTCAGAAATGTTAAGACACAGGAGCAATTTCCCCAAAGACCACCATGGGAAGACTGACAGAAGGGCGTTCCCTTCTAAGTCTCCCGCTCTTATTTCTCTAGATAAGCAGCCTCTCACGTAAAACACAGGGGATATTCTTTCGTCTCGAAATGGTATTCATTTCTCCACTTATTATTCTGTTGTTTCAGCTTGTGGGCTGGGGTTGTGATTCTCAGAATGGTGATATCTTTATGGAAGTCAGATCAGCTTTGCCCCATCCTACTTTAAAGCAATGAAAGTCACAGGCATGAAGTCACGGAGTGCTCATGCTGGGTTCTGTTTATTCTCTGTGCTTGTGTGATGTGGCATTTGTCTTCTGGAGATAAAGAAAACAAGCACATTTTTGAAATGGAGCCAAGTGGTAGGCACATGCGAAAGGTACTTAGAAGGAAAGTGTTGGAAGAGGTACACTGTCAGTGTTGGGGACAAGACAATGGGAGTTGGGAAATAGAAAAGGAGTTCCTGTTACATCTTCAGGAAAGGAAACAGTCTACCAAAAAGAGAAGTTCTTGTAAAAACAGAAAGAAATCCTCCTGTAAGTGGCCAGAAAGCAACAGACCGATGAGAAGGAACAGATGCAGGGACAGAGTCAGAATAGAGCCAGAAGTGGTCTGATGCAGATCAATAAGATAACAGAAAATAATTGTAAAATAAAGACTCAGATAAAAATAATAGTAATGGAGGTCCAGCTCAATCACGACCATCATCACCATAAGCTGGGAACACACCACTGTGTCCCAGGCACCTGCATCCCAGTGTGACCTTCTGTGAGGTGAGCGGCACCTGCACCCTGCGAGGTCATGAAGCAGAGGGTCAGGGGTGTCCCCTGCTCCCAAGGCGTGGCACCCACTCCCTCCACAGTGAAATTCCGGTGCCCATGCCTGTCGCTTGTGAAGCTGGTGGTTCTCAAGCAGGACAGGCCGGGGCCCAGAGACCCACAGACTTGATGCAGCCCAGGGGGGCTCCTTGTCACTGCACGGGACCCATGTGGGACCACTGCCTGGCGATGTGCAGCTCTGGTGCTAGGAGACCCTTGTTCCCTCGCTTCCCTTTAGCTCCCTGAAACAGCACTAGCCACACCCTCTTGTCATGCTCAGGAATATTCAACTCTACTGTCCTTAGACGCCATCCACCTGGTGTCCCAAGGGTAGCTGTGAAGTTTTTCAAGCAGGAGCATACGGATAGTCTGATCAAAACTGTAACATTCATGTTTAAATGTGATTTAAATATTATGTGTTATGGAATATGTGAATATTACATATTACCAAATTTAATCCTAAATGTGTAAACAGAATGGTATCTGGATTTTGTTAAATATATACTGTAATACAAAATAAATTGTTCTAGCTAATAATTAGCTAAAATCTTTCATTCTTATGATGGATTTTCACCCATCACTTTTGCTAGCAACTTTACTTACCCAGGACCTTTTTTCCCGAATCTCAAAAATAAGACCCTTCGCCTGTCACCTAGGTGTTTTCATAAGAAAAATAACTGGTTTATAGGATGAGTTTCTTCCTCTTCTTAGTTAGTACAACACCGAGACCTTCTAACATCTTAGACTCCTGCTGAGTCAAATTTTGCAAGTTTTCAATTGGCTCATCCTGAAAACACTGCATTCTGTTCTGTGGTAGAAGAACAAAGCAGAAAAATATTTTCTTTTCACTTAGAGCAAAGTGAAAAGGCACTGCTTCCCAGAGAGGATTCTCTCCACCAGATCGCAAGTGACCCCACCCAGGGCATATACGTTCAAAGGGGCTGGTAAGGCACGAAGGAATGGAATCTGAATCAAACCCTAACTTTGTTTTGCTAGACTAAAATTAGAAGTGGAGGATCTGAGTTTTAAGCCCTGACGAAACAAAACTTCCTGTTTGTATGACAACTTGCCTTGCAAGTTTCTATCACATCCAGTGGCTCTGACACTTCAGTTTTTTGATGCGCTCTCTCTTTCTATACATACAGACTGCAAATATCTGGATTGAATTTCACTTTAAAGCGTACACAGGTTTAAACATTACATGGGAAAAATGCTTGGTGAGAATCTACTTGGAGTTCACTGAGCTCAGAAAGTTTAATTGAAAATAAAACCAGTGATGCTTAGCTATCCTCCTTTGGACCTTGTAACTGCGATCACACAAACACCAGCACTGCAGGGGACCTTTGGCGCTGGCCGCGTCCCAGGCTCTTTCTTGCTCTTAAAGCAGTCCATGATGTCCTTCAAAGTCTGCTCTGACAGTTCTGACTCCCATGCTTGACTTTGAAAATGCCAGCTGAGGACAGAAACCGCTTTGCTCAAGTGATCTCAGAAATGGACACCAGGTGGCCGAAGAAGTGGACTCTCCGCAGATTCCCAAAGGTCGTCCTCTGGACCTTATCTCTTGGGCATATTTCACTTACCTCCCACGGACTATTTTCCCTCGGGCACTGAGGACAAAGGGTGGTGGGGAGGAATGGCAGCTTCTGGGAGGCTGAGGAATTGTAAATGCTCCTCCATGAGACACACAGGGACTGAAAGGAAATGCAAGGTGAGGCTTCTGAACATTTTCCTGCTGGTTTCCTCTATCTCAGTGACATACATTTGGAAGATGTGAGCTCTGAGCCTAATAGGCAGAGTTCTGGCTTGTTGTGGTTGGTTGTGGGAGTTCTGGCTGTTCAGCGTACCTCCTGCTGGACCTCCCGATACAGGATCCTTCCCTGGGACTGTCTCTGTGGGGAACTGTTTCCACTTCCTGTTTCAGGAGTGGTCATGTGACTCCCTCTGGCCAATGGAGTGAGTGGCCATGACTCAACCCACACCTGATCAGTGGCGTCGGACTGTCTTCTGGGTTGGTCATTGCTCTCAGGTAGTGTTCACTGTATGGCCAAATGGGAGGAGGGAACACTTGGAATTGAGCTCCAGCTGAACCACAGGACTCACAACACAGGTGAGAATCTTCTTGCCACTCTAAGTCACAAAGTTCTGGGAGTTGCTTGTCCCCTGAGGCAAAACCTAGTGAAGTCCTGGCCATGGAGGTGTCCTTACTCCATGCTTTTGTATCTTAGATTATGTTCCTTGTCTGACAGATGAATTAAAGGAAGGGCAGAAGGTCCTGAAATAGTCCTAAAGTAAACCTCAAGTGTTGGTCTATGTCAAAACACTCAATAGAGGAAGAATCCAAATCTGATAAGATTTCAGCAAGAAGAAAGCATTGCCTGATGCTGGCCAACAATCTACAAGCGGTGACCAATTCTCATTAAGGCACCTCAAAGTCAACATTTAAATCTATCAAGATAACTTTTCAGAGAACATTATAAATTCTCCTACCAATCAGTGTAATGTCTTGAGGATTTAGGGTCCCCGGTTCACAGGTCTGAGCGCTTCAAGATCTATAGTCTAAGGGCATTGTCTTTCTAACATTGCTAGCTCTCAAGCGGGGAGGACCCGAAGGGATTCAGTACCTTTTAAAGCAATGACAGACATTATTTTATTTAATCTTTCCCTTTACCTTGTAAAGAAAGAAATTTTTCTATTTTCTTAAGGAGGAAACTAAGCTGAGAGTGATTAAATAATGTACACATGCTCATAAAGCTAGTATGTGGAAGGCTGTTAGCAAACCAGAGCTGTCTGCCTCCAGAGCTACACTTGTAACTGTGCTAGCGTCACCATCACCCACAAAGGCCACCCCTCCTAGAGGTAAAATGCAGAATCATGAGGAGGAAAAGTTCCTGCTCACGTGATGTTTTGCATTCATTGTAAAATAATGAGCCGTAATTGATTCATTGTTTATCCTATGCCAGGCCTCATGCTAGGCTGTATATTAATTTAATGTTCACACAGGTTCTGAAATAGACTCTGTTATCATTCATTATTCCAGATAAGGACACTGTGATGGGTCTGTCTGCATCCGTAGCTCCTCCTGATGTCTCTAACATTTGTTCTCCAGCTGCAGGGAGCATCAGACCATCTGGAGGGCTGGAGAAGAGGGCGACTATCTCCTATACAGAGTCCCTAGTCAGCAGCCCTGGGGTCAGAAATGCTAAATTCCCAGAAGCACTGATGCTAGAACCCTGAAGGCTCACTGTGAGAACCATAGTCTACACCGCTCACTGCTTAGTGGGTTACAGAGAATATGGAGGAAACGACCAAATGCACAGGAATGGGCCTATGGCCTGCAAGGAGAACAGAGGCTATGAAATAGCATCCTCAAGTACGGGAGATGTTAGTGGAATTTTCAGGTGTCCGGGATGTGTTCCTAAGGGATTGGAGCTCAGGAGTACTGTCTTATATTTAAAAAAAAAAAAAAAATGTTTGAGAATTTCTGATGGGAAGGGATGTAATCATTTGAAAATTGCTGTGGGTTTCTTTCTTGGGTGTTGGGGGTCACATTGGAATGGTTTTAATGTCTCACTGGCCTAGAAGAATGGAGGATCCAGAGAGTCTGGGATCCTCTCCCAGGTGTACAGTACAGATGAAACACAATTAAAGGAATAAATGGTCAAACAATCCCAGAAAGCTTCCCTACTGAATCCCCAAACCACGCCACCCCTTGTAGATCTACACTATAGGCATTTGGATGCTACCGACTGTCAGAAGTCTTATGCTGAGAAATCTGGATAAGCACACAGCCATATCTGCCCCAGATGTGCCATTTGGAAACTCTGGGGAGGACCAATCTTGTCTAATCCTGCACTTTATATACAGGGAGAAAGAGGCTCCAAAAGCTTGAGCAATTTATGCACAGTTACAGATCCACTACAGGGTTAGGTCTGGAAACCAGCTTTTGTGAGTTTTGGTCCTCTTTATGAGAAGGTCTCTGTCTTCATTGCTATTGTCACCAAGTATCTTGAAATAAGCTGTCAATTTCCCTGGATACTGAAGACAGGGAAGACTCATGGGTGTAGCTGTCTCCCTCCACTCAACAACCTCATCAGCTTGGCTTGGGAGAGCTGAGCAATGCACACCTCAGGCCCTGTGCCTGAGCTACTGAGCCAGAATATTTGGGGGGTGGAGCAGGGAGAGCCTCCCAAGAAATGGCTTCTTAAAAAGACCTCAATTTCCCAAATGATTAGGTGGCTAGAGCTTGCAAAGTGACTCAGTGGACTGGAGAGAGCTATTATTCATTGGGAAAGCAACAAGTATTCCTTTAGAGAAACACCCTGACATTTGTACTGCATGTGAGTATCTAATGATCCAATTTGCCTCTGTAGTCAAATATTTAGCCTTTCTTTTCTATCTTTCCAGTCCATTATTATTGTTTCAAATTCCATAAGTACTGAAAAAAAAATCATTTTCCATCCCTAAATGTGGTTTGCATAGTTATACCCTTGACTCCTCCATGCAGATTCTTTCTAATTTTTTGTTTTTTCAGTTCCATAGAACACCAACCTTCCTCCATCAGCAAAGACAAGTTTAAACAGATACTGGGTTCAATGGGAGACTCATTTTCCACTTTCCATGGCAAAGAATCTGAGTACTGGAAGAAGTCAGAAGTATCATTTGCTGAATAGTTTTGTAAAGACAGTTTAATTTCAGGTCCCTTATTTGCGAGAGAGTTGGCTAACCCAAATAAAACATGATCCATCTGTCTGTTGTTATGAGTGACCAACTTCAGCTGAACACTATTACTTAATAACAGCTAACTTTCCTATAGACCGAGAATGTGTAGCAGCTATGAGCAGATGGAAATTTCCTTTGGTTTACCACCCTGGATCTCTCTTGCTCCAACATGTGAAGAACTTGGGTAATAAGCATATTCTCCTTTTTAATCACAGTATGGCTTGGACATGCATTGTTGTGAGATGACTGGTAAAACAGGAAAATTTATGTCTAGGGGGAAGAAAAAAAGCGAGTGGTAATTGCGTTAGATTCCCGAGAGCACTGCGCCAAATGTTCTCTTCAGGGAATAGATCTCCACAACCGGCTCAGGGAATCTCACTTACTATTCCTGTCTAGATTAATTCAAACGTACAGAAGAAGACGGCTCAGAGCAGCAGCATTAGGTTAAGGAGAAGGAAATGTAGAGTATTTGGGTTTGTTTGACTGTAACCTGGAATAAGCCAGGCTGCAAGGCATGTTTCTGCAGACAGCCCTGGCAGGGAGAGATTTAACGCAGCTGGGCATAGTTGGCGCATGCAAAAAGGACCAGGGAAGCAGGCAGCAAGCAAGAATGACTGCTCAGACTCTCTTCCCAGGACTCATGAGTTGCTTTGCTTTTTTACGATGCCCCATTGTATAGGGTGCAACGTTTCAGATGGATTTTCCCCCTCAAAGAGTTTCTGTCTTGCAGACATTGAGCTTAGCAGTTTTCAACCCTCACGCATATATTTCTTTGCTTCAGGCTTACATTTTTGACTGGAAGGAAGGCATAGAAAGATAGGCAGCACCTTATAAGTAAAAGTTCTGATTTCAGACTGCTTATTTTCCTGGCTTCGTGCTGGCTACTTTTCCTTTTGTTTAAAATGCATTCGAGATTGTTGGTCTCTGCCATTCAACTGATGATTCACGCACTGGGGTTGTTCACCTGCAGACAGGGTAGAATTCTTTGTGTTGATTTTTCATGCTCATTATGACCCTAATGGGACTCTTATCCCAGACAAAGGAAATGACTTTTGCTTGATTTGGAAGAGAGTTGTTTAACCATGGGATGAGTGTCAAAAGTTGTACAACCCCGTCTCACTGTCAGCCTCAACTTTGACCACACTTCTCTGATCCAGAAACTGGATCTCGCCGGATCCCAGGAGAACACAGTAAATACCAGAATTCTTGCCCTGTGCCCAACTTACTCTAAGGCCTGGTAATAGTTCCGAGGTATTTGCTTTTCTCAAGGTTGAAAACAGACTGCTGTGATCTCCAAATGATAGTAAGACAGTCTCAAATTTCGAAATGCCTTCACATTCAATCAAAGTCTCAGACCTTTGGCAGCTCACTCATCTCAATCAGTAAACAGTGTAAGAAAGCACATTCCTGCCATCTGCACTTAATTAGCTGGAGGACGACTGGCCCAATTTTGGTGGTGTTAGAATCTCCAGCCATGAGACAAGATGCCCAGTTAAACTTGTGGTGCAGATGGACAGCAAATAATTTTTAGTTTATGTATACCACAGGCAATCTTTGATATATGCTTATACTAAAAGGGATTGTTTATCTGAAATACAGAGCTATTTATGGACTGTCTACATTTATCTATGTGTACTGTATGAAGAGAAAGATATAGATAGCACAGTGGTCCTATATTTTTGTTTGCTAAATCTAGCATCTCTGGGAAAGAACAAATGTATGCTCAAGAGTAACTCAGGAGGCCAAAAAAAAGTAAAGATGAGATTTTAATAGATAGACAACATTCTTAGAACACTAGCACTCCAGGTTTCGCCAGTACTAGGACTTCTGAAAACAAATGCAGCTGTGCTGAGAGGGAGGCACATCCATACCTTTGTGTGGCTTGACAAGACTGGTGTGCTAATCTCGTTTTAATATTTTAGTTCAAGGGTTCTTAACCATTTTTTCTGCTATTGTCCTCTTTTTTTTGGCTATTGTCCTTTTTGGTGGAATAGTAAGACGTATGACTAACTTCTTGGAATAGTGTTGAAACAGACAAAAATAAACTACTTAAGATTAAAGAATGCACCACTAATATTAAAAGGCATTCATCGTAATATTGAAAAAAATACAATTATTGAATAAATGCTGTCATTTCGCTTTTGCATCCGGCGAGATCCAGTTTCTGGATCAGAGAAATGTGGCCAAAGTTGCGACTGACAGCATTTGGTGAGCAGAAATGTTCTCCCCAGATCCCTGAAAAGGCTACAATGCGATGTTGAAATATTTCTGATTGTGACTATGACAAAGTCACGGCTGCTTATATAACTGTGCTTTATGGCACACATTCAGAGCAAGAGATTATAAATTTAATTGGTAATAAGCTAGTTCTTTTTTCCCTTCCTCCAACATCACAGATCCTCCTGAGTGCCAGGCAGAAACTCTTCCTGCAACGCAGGCCTGGGTTCACACTCAGCTGTGGATTCTGGATGTGGTCATCCTGATAGTCAGAGAAATCAGATCCATCGGCTGAACCCTTCTTGGTTGATTTTCCTCAAGGACATGATTAGCCATCATAGATTCTGTTTCTTTCCTAAAAATAGCATGCACATCTAACAGTCAGAATCATGGTTTGTTCCCTTCATTGCTCGCACTAAGGTGAGTAGGGAACATCGCACTGGTGTTTACCTAATCGGATCGGCACCCAAGGAGACACATTCCCACTCCTGTACTTTTTGCCTTAGCTGGACACAAAGGAGGAGAGAACGGGAAACAGGTGAGATACGTATGTAACTCTGTCTGCATAGCCTCACTGCAGCCTTTCTCAGAACTGTGGAGCTGGGCCCCTACAGTAACACACCTGACTTTACAGTTCCCTGCTTCCATCACGACTCGAAGTCGACAGAGTACTAATTCAATTCTCCCTTTCATAAATCCTCCAGGGGCTTCCCCTGCTGACGAGTCCCAAGCCCCTTTGAGGAGCACAGTGACTCTTGTATGTCCTAGCTCTTGCTCCCTTTTTAGCTTTGTCCCCTTCTGCACAAAGCCCGCCCTTCACTGGCCTCTTCCAGACCAACCTGGCACCATGATCTGCTTAGAACAGACGAGACGCACAAAATACAACTTTTCCAAAAAGCAATCACGTCTACCCCAAAGGACTAGCACAGGGTTATATTCTGATTGTATAAAATTCTCCTAAATCACAAGAACCTTCACCCACTAAATGGACAATATTTATAAATCTACAATTATCCTTTTAAAACATTAAGAAAGTAAAAAGGCACCTCAACACGTGTTCATTTGGGTGCTGAGAATTTATTGAGCACCTACTGCGTGCTGTGTGGGCTGCTGGGATTTACCAGTAAGTAGGATCTGCTCGGTCCTGGCTTTCACACGGTTTGAAAAAGCTTTGAATAAATCTTTAGCTAAGTGGGGGTGTCAGGGACGCATACATTTGCAAAACTCAGAGTGGATGGATCCTAGCACTTTCCGGGCAATCCAGAGAGGGTGATGGTGAAGCAGGACCAGAGGACACAGTCTTTGGATCTGTACTTCATCCTAGGAGAATCCTGAAGGATATTTCAGGGATTTGTTAAAAAAGACAAGATTGGGGCCGGGGATTTCAGTGGTGCTGCCACCTGCCTCTCAAGCACAGGGTCCTGAGTTCAATCCCCGGTACAAAAAAGAAAAGAGAGAGGGAGAGAGGATTGGACTTGCGTGAAAGGGATCATTTTTGACAACAAGCAGAACGGACTGCATGAGATGGCTGGGAGCATCTTTAATTGGTGCTTTCAGCAATCCTAGGTGAAATTATGGACACACGGACTGGGCACCTGAGAGCAGCCAGGAGCTCTGAGCGGTGCCTTCCCAGTAGATCCTGTGGGTGGGTGGGCACCTCCAGCAAGCAGCAAGGGGAGAGAGGGAGATGAGGTCTGAAAGACGTCTGCTGGCTTCCTGGATTGGAAATGAGGTGGGATCAGGAGGGAGGAAGTATTTTACTGACCGGATGATGCTGGATCTCCTAAATCATGCACATATCACTGCATTGAAGAATGCATAAGAATGTTCTTATGTTAAACCTACATAGAGCCTAATTTGGTGCAGAATCATGGTGCAGAGGGAGGACCCTGCCTGTGGGTGGGATCCCGGGTCCAGGTTTGAAGGTGTGCGCTCCATGCTGCCAGGGGGACACCTGAACAGACAGGAGCCTGTGCCTTGTGCTGATGGACCCCATATCCTGCAGAGCAGGTGGGAGAAGGGCACCTTTCGCACGTACATCTGCAAACGGTTTGAACTATGACAGTAGCTACGCTTCCCCCATCCGTCAGGTAACCCCAGCCTCAGCCCTGGGCAGTCTTGGGGTTTGGGGAGCACAGGACATTGACAGACGAATCTGAGGAGTAGCTTTGGGTCCAAGGAACACAAAAGCACCAGCAGCCTACTTTCCACTTCACACACTCCCTGTGGACGAGTTTGCAGGAAGGAATAGCTTCATGCGTGGCACCTGGTAGAGTCATTTGGCATGGCTTTATCGGGGAGAGCAATGTGACAGTGTGTACCCGAAGATTTGAAATATTTATGCATACCCTTAGACCCAGTAAATCTAAGAACTCGTGAGAACTGTGCCACGAAATTATGTACAAGAGTGCTCTCTATATTAGCTATAATATTAAAATATTCAAAGCAACCCAGACCACCAATAAAATTTACAAAAGATTTGTAGGCTGCAATCTGAGGTAGTCTTTAAAACTTTAGGCAAAATATATATTTTAAAAGGTAATCTGCAGCATATATATATATATAATATATATACATATATTATATATATTGCATAATCCTTCTCTGTTTTTCTTTCCAAGTACGATTAAAATGAAAGCCCCTAAAATGCTAACAGCAGTTATCTCTTTGAAAGAAAACAAAATTAGGAAGGATTTTCAACCAGACTTTCCATTTTTATGCAGTTAATCTGAAAATTCAGTTTCCCCAGCACAGAGCCTTCTCCGGCATTCCACAGCTGACTGTAAATGAGAGGCACTTACAGTGTTCCTCTGAGAAACTTTCCACACAGCCTTGGCCAAATCTAGCAAAGCATTTACTCTGAGACATTTTGATTATGCGAATCCAAGAACTCTTTTTCAGTAAATTTTCGGAGCTATTGTTCCATGTTAACAGGAGGTTTTACTTAATTGGCTGGAGAGTTTGCACTTTGACCCCTGTGAGGCAGATTCTTGTCCACCACTTTGCTGGGGTAGCTCCCTTCATGCCCCATTCCTTTCTGCCCTGGGCCTCCTGGAAAACTTCTACACATCCCTCAAGGCCCAGCTGAAATGTCACCTCTGCTTCCTGTTGGAGTTCATCTTGATCCTCTCTCTGCGTTTCACATATTTTCTACCCCTCAGGACAGCATCTAATGTACTGTATTAGAACCTGCCTTTCCCTGTAAAAGACCAGTTTGAGAGGGGTGCAGCTTGAATTGCTCTTTTCATCCCTAATGCTAAACCCAAGAGAGACAAATCTGGCCCACAGTTGGGCACGTGGAGGAAGGGATTCCTCACTAATTTGAAATACAGACTTGGACTTCTGAATTTAATCCACAGCTTCAAGATTATTCTTCAGTATCTTATCTTGAAGAAAAACTTAGTTACACATTTCTATGTGGACAAAAATAATCAAAACTCATGGGCCTAACTATATTGAATCTAGCCCAATGAATCACTTCTTTGGTATGTTTTATATTCCATTTGGCTTTAAGAACAGTGAGTGCAATTTGATTTAAAATGTTCCCTGCAAAGTGTCAGGTGTTCAGCAGCAAGGCTTTTGGAAGGTGATTGCATCAAGGGGTGCTGTACTCTCTGTGGATGAATACATTCATGAATTAATGGCTGACCGAGCTGTTGGAATGTGGGGCCTGCTTGGCAGAACTGAGTGGCTGGGGTGTGACCCGGAAGCTCCCCTCTTCACTTCCTGGCCACCGTGGTGTGAGCAGCTCTCTTCCACTAGGCCCTTCCACTGTGCCGTTTCTACCTTGAAGCCAGCCAACCATGGACCAAAACTTCTTCAATATGGGGCACGGCAATAACCCAGATGGGCTCAATAACAAAATGATTGAATTATTTAGCTTCTCCTTGGTCCTTTGAAGGACCTTGGTACTTTATGTGTGTGTTAAAATGTATATAATACATTAATACAAGACAAAAATGTATATATCTATCCATGTGTGCCTCACACTTTTCTTCTGTGTTCGGGGTGAAAGGGTGGTTGTAAACTTCGTGTCCATTGCTTAGAACTGTAACCTACATCCACACTCTCTGAAGATCCTTTACAAATGCAAAAATTCATGTTTGGAAAGTTTGGGGTGAAGTCTGAGAATGCACCCCTCTCTAACAAGTCCCCCATAGACACAGACGCTGGAAGACCAAAGCTCACACTTTGAGTAGCGCTTAGCCCCAGGTGGCCACAGCTCCTCATCTGGACTGCACAGCACAGAACACAGAAAATGGGTCCCCTTACCAATCCCCCTAGAGAACAGGGCCCCCAGAGAGCTTCCTGGAAAGGTGGCTTTACCTATGGGAGAAAGGTCATAGTCCCTGTCTGATTTCATCAGGAAAAAACACAATACGCTGCTTATGAGTCACCATACAGGATTGCAAAACGATCCTGTACTCAGCAAGTCTTTTTCGGGGTTTGGCTTTTATCTGGAAATTTTCTTTCTGGGAAGCAGAGCTGGAAACCAAGATCTGGACCACTCTGGGAGCCGACATTAAGGAGAGGAGAGCTAAAGTCTGGCGTCTGTCCACGATGACTCAGGACAGACCCTAGTACCCCATGAGATCTTCGTGTTAGGAGTAAACAGGTTACAGAGGCTCCTCATCTGAAAGAAGTGGACCATCACACACACACACACACACACACACACACACACACACACACACAATCTCTCAATTTACACAGTCTACCCCACACTTTATGTTTGTGTATCCTGTGAAAGACTACTTTGGCCTAATTTGAACTATATGCCTTTGCTTATCTGAGCCACTTGCACCACCAGGGAATATTTTCCAGAAAGTTT